TACTTAGTAACGCTACCGCGTTACTAATAACGCTACCGCGTTACTAATAGTACAGGGACTTTTGTCCAATTTTTGAGCAGCTTTAAAAAATCATAAAAAATCGAAACTTGATCGGAATCAGCTCAAACTTTCTGCACAGCATAAGCACATGTATATGCATCAGAAAATGTAATAAAATTGAGGAATTTTTCACTTGTCAATTTTTGTGAAATTTTACAAAAATCCCTTTACTATAGTACAGCGACTTTTGTCCTATTTTGGAGCAACTTTAAAGAATCATAAAAAATCGAAACTTAATTGGAATATGCTCAAACTTTGTACACAAGATACAGTAAGTACATGTATACGCATCAGGAAATGCAATAAAGGTAGATAATGGCAAACACATTTACCAGACAGTAATGGACATGTAAAGTAATATTAATGAACAATGTGCTTGTAACAAAATGTGCAGAAACTGTTTTATGATAATCCAATCAATAATAATGTTAATAATAATAATAATAATAATCTATTCAACAGCTTAAGGAATGTTTCTAATAAGTCACTAGCAGACTGGGAGCTATTAATTGACACGAGAGCTGATGCCTTCTATCGGGTTAGCCTTCTGTCTTATCAACTTCTTCCTAGTGTCCTCCTCCCACTGAGGATTATCAAGAGTATGGGGTACTTCAGGACCAACTGGAAAACAACAAACAACAACAATAAACAATAACAATAATAATAAACAAATACATTGATCCTGCCAAGGGCAGTGGTTAATACAGTGGGGATTCTGCTTATTCATTAATGATACTCTAATAAACTGGTAGAGTCATAATAACTCACTCTGCTCAGTAAGTGACGTTAGTAGGAACCTACTTTACAGTACAACCCTTTCTCTCTCTCTCTGATACACTTACTTGTCCTTTTAAAGAACTCAGCCAGTATTACTCCAATTATTATTGCCAAAGTTGTACCAGCAAAAACTTTCGGCCCATAGCCTTTCTCGGCGTCCTTGAGTTCTTTAAAGCTCTGGGGAAACGTTGCTCTGTATACTAGACATAATAATAATAATGATGATAATAATAATAATAACCATTCATTTATTATTAATTAATAATATAATTAAGACTCTCTTCCCTGAGACCTCTTTCTTAGTGTATAAAGGCTCTAGGCCACTTCACTAACACAAATGGCTACCCGCTCATACCACCAGTGGGTCAATACAACCCAGACACTATCACTCCCTACAATACAATACATACACATCACAGTCTCTTCCTTTGATAACTTGGACCAATGGCCACACGACTTGTCATATGCAGCCTTGAGCTCAGGGGTGGAGAGGTTCATCTGTAGGCTGAGAGGAGCGGGTCTGGCCACACTGATGGTGAGGTGGAGACGAGGGACAGAACTGCTGAGGAATCTACGAGCTATAAACAAAGTCGCCATTTTTATTCTTGCACTAGTCTACTGGGCATGCGCAGTAGAATAGTCCAGAGTTCATTAAGTACATTCATTAGCTATGGATACACCAATCAATGATGATCATGATGACCTTTAAAACACTGAGAATACCTACTGCTGCTTATTGGTCCCTACTTCATACAACATGCACCATTGAAACGCATTAAAAGTTGCAG